GGGGACTTTCAAAAGGGACTGCATGCCCTCCTACCCAACTGGAACCCAAATACCCTCCCCCACACCAAGGGCCTCGGCACCATTTTCGCCAGCTGGCAAAGGATCCCACGGTGTGCAGCCACCAGGCTTCTGGCCACCAAGGGAGACCTGCAGTGTGGGGAGTGGGTGTGAACTGCCGTTAGCCCGAGTCTGGGCCCCACAAAAAACCACCACCCTGTCTTCCCAGTCGGGAGGGAAGGAAACAGACTCCTAACAACCAGGGGCCAGAGTGGCCCCAGAAACTCGGGCCCCATCAGCATTATGGGGCCAGCCACACGTGCGCCCGGCTGCTCTCCTCGGCCCTGCGAGCTCTCAGGAACACAAAGGTAAAAGTGGAGCACAAGCACCATGCAGTAACGGACCATCCTTCTTGGCCGGTTCATGACGGAGCACCGAGAAAGTCCAAGCAAAGCAACTTAAAAACTCTGGCAACCAGCGAAGGTCTCAGCACAGTGGCCATTTCCAGGAGGAGTGTTTTAAAAAGAAGAGTGTTCCTTCATCCCAGCACTGATCAGCGTGAAATACGATGGGTACAGAGATCCTGTTCACGGTTCAACAAAACCCAGCAACCAACACACAGTAAAGGGCATTTTAAACTTAGAAATAGCCTAAATGTGCTCAACTTCAGAAAGCCTGGGACCCGCAGGAGGACGACCTTCTAGCTGCCGGGTCACAGGGTAGTCCGAATGGACTGGAAGTTTCCACGTATGCCATAGAAGGAGGCGCAGACGCAGGCTTATCAACGGGGAAAGGGTACAGCAGTAACACGACACCAAGGCCGGAAACTGCCGGAAAGGAAGCTATTGATGAATCTGACCACACAAAAATTAAACACATCCGTACAAAAAAACCCCTAGCAGCGTTGCAAGATAAATGGCAAACGTGCGTGGGGCGGGGCGGGGGGGGGCACCGTGCCAGGGTACGGCTTTGTAAACCCGGAACGGGGCAAAGACACGGGGCCACCACGGTCCCAGCAGGAGGCAGGGGCTCGGGTGGGTGCCAGCGATCCCCCAGAGACAGATGCCCCGATGTGAGGAGCAAAGAGATGGTCAATCCCACCAGCAGTCAGAGAAACTCAAAGCATCAATACAATCCTTTCACCTTTCAGACTGTCAGAAATCCGAAACATCGCCAGCAGCCAAAGCTGGTGAGGACTCAGGGAAAGAGGACTTCTGAGCGTGGCCAGAACAAGCAACGGCCGTGCGTCCCGGCCGCTCTGTGCTCTGCCGTCCTCGTCTCTCTCCCGTCTGCGGCCGGTCCCCCACCTGCCCTTCGTCTGCGTACCCCGCACACAGCAGCCACATCTTGGGCGGCTGCCATGGAAGGCACACCCAGGACAGCAGCTGTGCACAGAGGGACCGTTCCTATGGACCCCAGCAGGTCAGCTGTGTCAAGGTGCCTTACGTGGACACAGTTCTGGGGTGGCAAGGTCGTTCCTACGTGCAGGAACATGAGCACACAGAGATGCTCATTGCCAGGTTTGTGATACTGTGTTTGCGAAGAAAGTGGAAACACCCCAGTGTCCTACAGCAGGAAATGAAGTAAGCAGAGAACATCATGTCCACACGGAGCAAGGCCGAAGGGCAGGGACTCGGCCCTGGCCACCCGTCAGAACCGCTAGCCGGACAAGATAGGGGTGCCGAGCTCCACCCCCAACGGGAATTCCTGGGGGGCGGGGACCCGGCATCCGTAGTTTTAAGGGCACCACGGAGTCTAGCTCCCAGCCAGGCTTGAGGGCCGCCCTTGTGAATCCAGCCAACAAACGCTGTAGATCTATCAGATGTTGGCGACATCCCACTAAGTAAAAAAGCAGGTTACGACCAAACCATATATGGAATGTGATCCCATTTCTGCATCAAAGGAAAAATGTGTGTTTCCACGGCTAGAAGTGTGAGAACATTCCTAGAACAAAGCTGCAGAAGACGCACACTGACATGTTTGCTGCGGAGAGTCTCGGTGCTAAACCTACACGTCTAGATTTTCCTATTTAGGGCAATTGTAGGAAAAACAGGAAAGCATACACATGTATACATTCTAATGCTTCTTAATTAAAAATAAACAAAGGATTTCTTTTTACATTTTAAGAAAGGCGACTTGAGAATCTGGTGGCCTCCCGTCCTGGTGTGCTGCCCACCCACCCAACAGACCTGGGCGAGGTGTTCTGCGGCCTTCAAGGGCTCCCTTATTCCCAGTCTTCTCTGGGGGAGCAAACCTCGCAGTGATTAGTGATCCCCCACTAGGAAGCTCACGTCACATTGGGTTTGAGTGCTGGCCATGACTATGGAGAAGGGCGGGCACCCCGCTGGGCTGCGGACCTGCTCAGCAGGGGAGCTGGAGCCCCCTCAGCACCGCTCAGCAGCCTCATGACCAAGACCGTGTGGGCCGTGTGGACGAAGGGGCTCGCAAAATAGCGCGGCTCTGGGGCAGGGCCGGCGAGGAAAGACAGGTCCCTGGCAGGTTCGGCCCCTGAAATCCAGGGCTCCCAGAAGCCAGCGAGAGGAGGAGGTGCGGCATTAGCAGGGGAGGGAAAGGTGCCCCTGGTTCCCGCGTGAGACAACGGCGCAGAGAATCTGCCCCTGCGCCCGGCGCTTGCCAAGTAGGCACAGAGGCTCTAGACTCCGCGGGACTGACGGGAACAAGGACACTTCTCTATCACAACCACGCTTTTTAGCTGGGATCTACCTGGCACTCTGTGAAACTGCCTTTTTTCTTTTCTTTTATCCTTTTCTCTGCATACCAAACTTAATCTATTAATTGGGAGTTTTAATCCAAAAAATTCATCAGAAGGTCTTCCGTTGCCATAGCAACCGTGCAGGCACAGTAAATGCACGTCTCCGGCACAACACAGCCGTCTCTTCAAGCCCGCACAGCAGCACGGCCAGCAAAGTAATGCAGCCCCCGTCCGAAGGGGCTGGGGGGCGACTTCACACCCGGCCTGGAAGAGAGCTGGGGTTCAGGGGCCACGGCCTGCCCCCAACTCACCTTCCTCCGTCCCAAACCCCATTCCCTATTCCTTAAATAAACTCACGGCCCTCTCTGCAAGCTTGTGCCGAGACGCTTGAGCCGTAGGTGCCCCGACGATGACACGCACACGCGGGACAACGTGGCTGTCCAGCCAGATGACGCGGACAGGTGCCGCACCCAAGCTCACCAAACAAAGCCCAGATAAGTCCCGACGGTGGGTTCAGTTTGGGGATGTGGCTGCTGTGCCAAGTGATCAGCAAGTAACTGATGTCACATGTCCTAAAGAGCAAGGACCTGTAGCAGAGTCAGCCCCCCCCCCACCTCCCGAAGCAGCTGCGGCCTCGGCCATCCCACTCCAGGCAAATACAGGGGTTGGGGGATGCGCCGAATAATTCTCAAATCAGATTGTGAGCAGCATCAACAGATTCTGTGCTCTTTTTGCCTTTTTAATGGTCCGTGACATCTGAGACATAACACACTGTGAGCCAAAAGAAAAATCCCACGTTAAAAAGCTGAAGGCAGCGCCCGTGCAACGTCAATTTCTCTACCTCCACGTTCTCTGCCTCTGAGAGCACAAGGCTAAGGCATGGAAAGTGTGGCCAGCTCTTGGCCAACACCAGCGAGCGCGGAACTCAGATGTGTTTCTCAGACATTTTCTCATCGTGCAGCCAGAGAAGCTAGCCGTCAGTCTGCTTCCTGATCAGTTCCTAATGCACTCTGAGCTTTCCTTACTCGGAATATTTATGTTGAAAACAAAAATGCATAACATAGGAAAGAGTCACAGCACTGAGTTCTGCTGCCCCAGGGCTGAGGGCACAATGACAGCAGACCCAGAACACACTGGACTGATGGGGCGGTGCGGAATGCCCCTCCCCTGCTGACCGTGACCACGCTCAGCAGCCTGGCACCCCCTGGGCAGCCCACGGCAGCCTCTCCGTCACTCCGATGACCACCCGCACACGGCCCGCACGCTCACCACCACTGAGGCCTGAGGTCGTACTACTGTGATTTCCTATTATGCTTAAATTATTTATCACAATAAATAGTTTGGGCTCCTGTGTTGGGCTGTGCTCTAAAATTATAAATTATAAAAGACCTCTGCAGGCTGCCTACAGATGAAAAAATGCATATTTCAACTATTTTAAGAAAATGTCAAAAAAACATCAAATGTGTCATCATTGTACCATTTAAACTCTCTCCATGACATCCGTAGAAAAGAGCTGTATGTTTGCGTGCGAATGTATCCCAGTGCCCCAGAGGCAGACCTTCCCTGCAGGTAGCTGCCAAGTGAAAGGTGGCCTGTCACGTGTTTGCCATGGGCACCTGTCTCCACGTGGCCACTCAAGAGATACGGGTGGGTGGTCTGGGTCAGCAGCTTTACCTGCAAGAGGACCTGAAAGGAAACTCTCAAAGGGAGTTCCCAAAGGGCAGGTCTCTGCACAAAGGCAAAGCCATCTCCACCGCACATCTGAGCCCAAAGGTTGGGCACGTGGGGGCCACACCACACTGTCAGCCGCAGACTGAGAGCTCCCGGGGCCAGGGACCCCCCCCCCACACCTGTGGGGCAAGCATCTTCCTTCGCAAAAGCGGCACACCACAGCTGCAGAGTAGACCAAGCCTGCACACCGCCCCTAAAAGGAAAATGAACACATGCAGCCCTCGCCACAGTGGGTGGCTAAGCCCGCACCACTCCGACCATGGACCCTCCCCCCGCAGGGCAGGCCCGAGCCCACTCCCGCCGCTGCGCCGCCACTGGACACGGAGGAGGCAGGAGGGAGCCCTGGATGCGCGTGGGCACCGCAGGCAGCATCCGCGAGTTTCCTCGGAAACCGAGACGCCCCGGGATGCCTTCCCACCCGGGTGGTCGCGGTGTCTGGACGCGAGGAAATCCTACCGCCGCGGCCCCTCTGCGAGAGCGCGCAGAGCGCCCATGCGGCGCGGGTCCCCACGCTGTCCCCGGGAGCGGCCCGGGGCCCCCGCCGTGCGGCCGCGCTCACCGTCCTCCTTGTCGTCAAACACCGGCCTCCGCGCCGTGGCCGCCGACATGGAAGAGCCCATTCTCTTCCTCCACTTGCTCCACG